GCAGAAACTTGTAAACCCATGTTCTCCCTTTTTGTCATATGTGGATTATCTTCTGGGAAAGAGGCACACAGACGTTGGTCTAATGTCCTTAGTAATAAAAGTCACAGTCTAATTAACTTCATCTATTTCCCATGAGAAAGAAAAAAAAATCATTATACAGTAATGTCAGAAAATCTTTGGATTTTCACAGAGGTCTCCCATAATAGAAGTTTAAGACACATAGACCAAAATAAATTCCAGTTGGAGCATTTGAATGTAAAAAATGAAACCATGAAAGGACTAGTGTAAAAATATGGGCAAAACTTCTTGTTAATCCTGGTGGGGAAAGGCCATCATTTTTACTGTTTTTATTGAATATGAAAAGCAAGATACCAAAAAAATGTATATAGTATTTGTTGGTTTTAACATCTGTACTTGGTAAAATTAAAAGTTGGCATCTTAAAACTTCAAGTTTCACTGGTCTGTGCAATCTAGCTGTGGTTATTTGAATGGCAGAAATGTCCCAGAGTTTCCTTCTTGGCCTTTAATTTTGTGGTTCTGTAGCATTACAGAAACTTAATCGTTGTCAATGTCAGACATAAATTTCTTTATTCTTTTATTTCTTTATGAATTTTTGCAGATGTTTTTGATAAAGAGTACAAGATGGCATATGATCGTCTCACACCTAGTCAAGTGAAGAGTACGCACAACTGTGACAGACCACCGAGTACAGGGGTGATGGAATGTCGGAAAACCTTTGGAGAACCTTATCTTTAAGATGTGTGTGTATACATTGAATGTATATTGTATAGTCAGTGTATAAAATAACACTTTTAGACTCTAAACTTTTTTTCCCCAATTTTTGAAAACTCAAATTGTAAATGGTTCAGAAGGTTCAGATAGCTTATGTACAGAATGTTTTAAGAACAGAATAGTAACAAGTGAGGGGAAAGCCACTTTGTTTCCCATTTATTTTTGTTTTTCTTTAACTTCCCTGTAATAAGTAATTAAGTATTTTTGTGATGAGGAAATCCCTAAACACAATTAGTTGCCATAAAATAAGACAACTGTTTCATGGTTTCTCTCAGAAGAAACAGATTGAAAAATCGTGAATGGAACCTAAACAGCAATGTCAGTTCAAAGAATCTC